AGGTCTTAACAAAAATAGGTCAAGAAGTTGTTTGAAGTTCTATGTAAGGTGAGTTTCATTACTAGCCCTCTAGGATAGTCAATAGGAACATCCTAATGCTAGATCATAGACTGTAGGAGAAAGAAACCAAGACCTCACCAAAATAAGGTCAACAATAACTCTCCATGAATAAATGTAATATTCACATTGAGTTGGTGTAACTTTCACCCACGATTCACTACAAGAGAAACTAGTGTCCTCACTCAGCTCATCTTTGTCACAAGTGCAAATGTTTCATCAGCCAATGCCATATGTCTAACTGTACCATTTCGTGCTTTGTACCGTTCTATCATTCCTTCTGAGTTTGCTTCACTATGAAGATTCATTTGTATTCAACTGTCTTTTTTTCCGCTGGTAGGACACTATCTCTCATATTTAGTTTTTATTGAGAGTCATCTGCTCTTCATGCACAACGAATTTCCACTTGGGATCCTCTTTAGCAACTTGCCAACTCTTTGGTATAGCTATAGTGTCCAAAGATGCAATGAATGCTCCGTTCAAATGTGATATGTTGGAATATGAAACAAAGTTAGTAATGTCATGTTCTCACCTAATACAATTTCTTAAAGTAGGGGGTTAGGAGAAGAAAGAGGAGGAATCATATCACACGGGAGATTTGTTTCGGGGGTGGATGGTGTAGGTGCCTCAAGAGCCGGGGAAGACTAGGACAAGGGACTAGTTGACACATGGGCCACCATAGACATTGTTCTCTCAATCTGTTTCCTTCTCCGTGTATACACCCTTAACTCACATTCAGCCTGAATCCCACCACCTTTGGGTTTACTCTCCTCATTTTTTGATTCCTTAACTGATTCATCCCACATCATAAGACAAGACATGGCTCCCACGTGTACCACTTTCTCACCGTTGATGCTCACCTAGCCTTGCCTCATATCTCCAGTATCTGGTGAGTCACCGAAGAGTGTGGTCACCTCCTCGGTGTAGTACTGTTCAAATTCTCTAAATGACATTTCCATGCTCACAAGCAATCTCTTTTTTATCTGGCTCCAGCAGATGTACCCCTTCTGGGTAATAGAATAACCTATGAACACACTTTTCATAGCTCTGAGATCTAGCTTCCCTACTTATGATTGTTTTCCTTCACCAAACATACATAAACAACTATTATCTCCTTTCAACATATGACAATGAGAATTTCAATCCAACACTCTCGATGACACCCTGTTGATAAATTGAGCAATTGTCAAAATTGCTTGCTCCCCATAAGTGCTTTGAGACAATCTTTGAGGTCATCATGCTTGGGAAACCTCTAGAAGATATCTATTTTTTCTCTCTGCTATTTGATTGTGCTGGTGTATATGGACATGTGGTTTGATGTTGTATCCCTTGAGTTGACAAGTATTCCCCAAATACTTTTTTGGTATATTCTGTTCTATTATCTGACACCAATATATTCACTATTGCACCATATTAAGTCTGGATTGTCATGTGAAAGTCTTAAAATCAAGCAAACACATTACCCTTATTTTTCATCAAATATACCCAAATAACACAATAAAAGCAATCGATAAAGGCCACAAAATATTGATAATCATTCATAGAACTTATAGAACAAGGTCCCCGTACATCAGAATGAATTCCATACATCAGAATGAATTAAGTCAAAAATACCAGAACTCCTATTCTCATAACTTATATAAGAGCTCCTAATAAGCTTGCTAAACTCACGAACATCACTAACATATTTTTGTCTATTTGCCTTTTCATACAAAAAAGGATACAACCGAATCAATAAACTAAAACAAGAGTGTCTCATGCTTCTGTAATGTAGTAGCAACACATCCTCCACACTCCTGCCAAATTCTCCTACTCCATCACTCTCCACCATGGATGCCAAAGCTAAGTTCATCCTCTCTAAGTCTAATTATCAGAGTCCATTATGCCACATTCCAGTCCCAAGTGTCTGACCTATCTCTTTTTCTTGAAAGATCACTTTAGGGATGTCAAAAGAAACTACACGTTTTAGCTGGAGAATAATGACATTAATAGATAAAAGATTCACTGAAAAAAGAAAAGCATGTAAAACATTGGACAAATTCATATAATTGGTACCCTTCACTGTACCTTTATAAACTATAGGCTATGTAATAACTTAAGTAAAAGAGTAATAATAATAATATTAATTAAAAAAAAATGAATCAACTTGTGGGCTAACCATCATTACGATTAGGCTTAAGAGTTGAGAGGATCATTTCAAAAATAAAGCGAGAGGGGGAGTAAAGAAAGGAGAATGGGAGTAACTTCTGTTCAAAGAAGAAGAAAAGAGGGAAGTCACCGATTTCATGCATAAAATGACGTCGTGCTTTAGATGAAGAAAGGTAAAGTGAACGTCGCCGCTTGCTATGAGTCGCTTGGATTTGTCGAAACCGACATTGTTATTGTGCTTGCGGTGCTATGCTGAGCCGCAAATCAATGGAAGAGGAGGAAGGAGGAGACTTAGATGTCGTGATCACGCGGAGAAAGAGGAGGAAGAAGATTGTGGGTGATGTCTGTGTCGAGCCGTGCAAATGAGAAGAGATAAGACTGGATTTTTAAGGTCCCTTAATAATCATCCTAATAAGGGTTCACTGGAACAGAGGAAACTTTGACGCTATTATCTTTTTACAAGTAGGTCCCTAAATAAGGTCCAATTCTCAAAAAAAATATTTGGTTAGGGCGGATTTTCTCGCTAGGCTGGAGTTTAAGCTGATCATGTTGTTAAAATTTCCTTTTCGTGTTATTTTTTACTATTCTTATTTTGCAGGGGCTATAACAAGCTTATGATATGTTAAATTTTGTTTTACTGAACGCAATAGTAATTCTAGACTGTTATGGTAAACATATGTTTACTTTCCTGCGGTGTCTTTTCTTTTTTAATGTTAATTTGTTTGTCAGTCAGTCAACCATTAATGTTCAAACTATCTAAGGTAAGGCGAACAAAATAAAGGATGAACATCTAAGATGAACTTCTACTAAGTGTAGGGCTGGTTAATCTTTTGGTAGTCTTGTTGTTTTGTTGTTATCTTCGTTGTGTTTTTGTTTGATAGGTCTGCTCACATTTCAGGTTATGTTTTTTGCTTTTTTTTCTGGGTTATCGTAGACTCATTATTAACTAAATTTTCTTCTTAAAATAAATAATTTTAACATAATATTTCAAAATTAAGAAATAAACCAAAATCAAAACAAAATAAAATATTGCATTCACACCTTATGACATGATACATTTAAAACATCAAAATTAAAATTAAACAAAAATTAGTAGAAACTTTTCGATTTAGGAATAACCATGAAGAGATTATTATAGACATTTACATTTATATTGGTTATTCCTTTATTGCCTTATAGAGTGAGTTTGCTTTTGCATAGCGATTGACCTTATAAATGAATCTTCTAAGCATTTGTTATCAAGGACATGCATATTTATACATAGTTTGCTTTATTACCCGACACTAAGAGCTAACAAAAATAATAAAAAGTTTGAGTGTGGTGAGTTATAAATATTTAAATTTTTAATTGTAAAAAAAAAAATTTCGATTGCCTTAGGACATTTTGCATACCACTCATACTTAGACATCTTGATTTTTATAATCAAGTTATACGACTTACTTTTTTTAATAAATAACAACCTATCATATCCTGCATTTCATGACATCGATGATTTACTACTTTAGGTGGTTTAGATGCAACCCTTTTCAGGCAGGGTGGTAAGTCCATTTAGTTAGTTTGTTTGTTACATTCTCTTCCTTTTAGATACGGTCCGAGGTTCTACTTTATTCGGTAAACCTGATTTTGACTTTAGGATTCTGAGATAGTTCGTTTAGTTACGATGTTAATCCTCAGTTTTTAGTCTTTTTCACGATCATATAGTGTATGATATAAATCCTAATTTTCTAAATAAAATGTTAACACAAATATCAAATAAATCTTTCTTTCAAAAATCAATAAAGCCAAATAAAATGATAGTTGAGATCCTACTGAGTTTCTCAGTATCTTCAATATCTACTTTTTATCTTTTGAATTCTATAAATAACTATTTCATTTTTGAGCTTTCCAATTTGATATTCTCTATAATTAATTGTGGAAACAAAACTTACAAATTCCTTGAAGATAAAAGTACAATCTTAATAGAGAGTTTTTTTAAGAAAGATATAATTAACTATAGGCTTTGCTCTTATAGGAAGTTAGCAACCTGGATTTTTCTAAACCCTATTTGATCTTCGGATTAGGTAGGGGAAAGAGCTATGAGTTAAAACACAGACCATGCAAAATCCAAAATTTCTTTATTAAAATAATTGAACCCATCATAAAGTGATGTTTCTATCTTTCATGATAAGATATTACTTTTAATGTTGTGTTCAACAATTTAAATAATTAAATATTTCAGATCTGTCTAGTACCTTATTTTCAAAATATAAAATAAAACCAGCACTATGTTGCAAAGCACTTTTAATCTTTTTTCTTCACTGTAGTAAACATATAAATGATCGGATTATCCAGCAAAATGCTTTCATTGTTCTTTATTTAAAATGGAAGAAATTTTTTGCATTAAGATCCTGCCGATATAAGCTGAAGGAAGCCATCTCTATATACAGCCGTAGTTCCCTGCATTTTCAAAAGGCTATTTCTATAATTCAATTTTCATGACCTTTGGTCTCGGTGAGGACATTATAGCTATTTTGCATGATTAAATTTCTAAGAACTTTAAGGTCTAGTTGAAGAGAAGATCGCCACATGAACTGGATAAAGTTTTGCATGTCCGATTGTTTTGATATGCTGTAAATTAGCATTATATAAAGTAATACATGATGTTAGCACCATGCCATCTTTTTTGTTATCAGAATATGTATTTTTGTTTTTGGAAACGAGTTTAACTTTTTTTTTTCTTGCTAGTATGTTCTGAAATTATTTTATCTGAATTTGGTTGCACATCATGCATGCTGCTCACTCTCTAGTAATTGCAGAAAGAGGAGGCAATCCTGCAGCTGCATCTCATAGTGGTGCCCAGGCTAATGCAAAGCGAGAGAAAGGTGCCAGACCACCTCAGAAGAAAGATGGGCCTAAAGATACAACTACGGCTTCTGAGAAAAGGGCTGACCGCAATCATGATAAAGAGAGAAAGAAGGATGTTCCTCAGCCTGGCCTGCAGTATGATGATAAAAATCGGGTTGAAAAGGCTAGAAGACGTGCTGTAGTTAATCAATTTGAAGCTAGAAATAGAGTTGAACTCTTCCGGCACTTGCCACAATATGAGCATGGGTCTCAACTGCCATATCTTGAGTCAAAGTTTTTTCATCTTGATCATATACATCCTTCAGTTTATAAGGTATTTTATAATTCAGCCTTTCGTGCTAATAGCAAATGTTTTTGTGTGGTCTTAATCACTATCACATTATTTGAATGGATCATCACTCACAATTCACTATGCTCAATGTCTTAGTATAGATTTCTTATTCTTTTTATAGGTGTTATTTCGATTCACTATTTTGTTCTTTTTTTATATTCATGAATTTTGATGTATATCTTACACAAGTTGTTCTAGCTTAAACAAAGGATAAGATCTAATGATCTTTTTGAGCTTTTAAATCCCTACACCCTTTGGTAAGTCATATTTTGGCAAGCGAAGGGAATTATGAGAGAATAGATTTTGAAGTCTTATTAACTTTATGTTATATTATTTGACTGTAAACTTCCTTTTGACCTAGACCATTCTCAGTTCATGTGCTTGTAGACCGTTCCAAAACTCCATCCCTCCCATATTCCCGAATATAGGCTTTATGATTTTGTCCCGGCTCTACTTGGTTGACTTTTTATTTGAATATTTTTCCATATATCATTGGCTCGCATACTTTTTGCTGGCATTAGAGCAATTTAGCTTATCAATTCCCCGTATACTTGTTTGCATGCAATGGCTTGAGATATTATAACTGACGGTAGATGAGTACTCGGTTAAGGAGATGAAGAGGGCATGGGTTTTCCATTATTTTGAAGGGGGGCAAAGATGAGCTCACCCAACTATAAATTTTTGAACTCAAGCATTTCTACCTCTACCAAAATTTTATCTCGACGCCTACTACTAAAACTTAAACCACCGACCAACTTTGATTTGCAATCATACATCTGCTTCAAATCTGATCAAGAGGAAGGACTCCATTCCGCCAAGGAGAAACCCTCAGTGAGGTGCCCATAAATTTGTTAGGGTGGATATGCAACGGGAAATCCTCCAACTGCCACAAAGGCTTGCCACTTTTGAGAGAAGACAATCCAGTGAACTCACCCGTAGCCACAACGGTATCTCGTAATATCGAGAAGTGGAAGTGAATTCCTTCCATCAGACAGTTTTAAGTCATGAAGAACCACTTTCTCAATGATTTCGCATGGAGCATTAGAAAAGAAGCTTGGATCTTGTAGTAAATTTTAGATTTATCCGATTTTAATAGTCGCATGGATCCATATGAGTATAGCAGGTGGCTTCAAGTAATAGAGTGAATTCTTTAGTACAAAGTTGTTCCTGAAGATAAGTTAAATTGGTAGCCTTCAAATCAGAAAAATAACTTTTTTTGTAGTGGGAGAACCTGAAACTTATTCAACAGAGCGAAGAAAGGGAGATGCAATGGACTTACCTTCCTCTACATTACAGACATGATATGTTCATAAAGCTTCAGAACTTGGGCGAGAGACAAACTTCTATGGAGGGGTACATAATGGAATTTGATTAACTTTTGATGAAATATGAGTTGGTGGAACCAGAGGAACACACAGTGACAAGATATTTTTGATACCTGATGTCTTTTATCGTGAATGTGGTGCATCTGTAGCCGTATTTGTTTCTACTTGATGTCCAAACCTTAGTTTGTAAGGTGGAGAAATAGCAACATCATTACTTAAATGCCTCATCTTTCGAGTAGAGTTCAACCCAGTATGAGGTAGTAAAAGTACACCTAGTGGAGCACTCAAGCCAACGCTTCCAAAGGTGAACCCAAACAGAGTGAAGTAAGCGTGGAGATTGTCAGCATTCCTAAATCTGTTCATGCCAAGAAGTGCTTTAAGTGTCATGGTTTTGGACACATTGCATGTGATTGTAAAAACAAAAGAGCGATATCTTTCACTAAGAAGGGTGCAGGGAAGGAGGCAGAAGGGTGAAGATCTAGATGAGCAGCGTGGAGGGGGTACCATAACACAACCGACGAGGGAAATTTGTTGTTGTTTCATGTTGAGCCCATGAGAGAGATTCTAGGAGGGTTAAAATTGGTTGTTCAAGAAAGTAGTAAGTCTGAGGTAATAGGCGTTCATACAGAGTGCGAGGATGTGGTGTCACAAACTACTCTTTTGCAGGCGTTAACAGAGGCATCAACTAGGTTGGTATTGGTTTTCCAAGTTGAGCATGAGATCAAGTGGCTAATATCTGACATTGAACAAACCCAGATAAGAATTTTAGGATTTTCAGACGTACAATCTACCTTCTAAGTTATTAGTACCGAGGGAGGTCCAACATGCCATCACTTTAGATAAAGATGAGAAATTTCTTAGATAATTTTGGATGACTATAGAGAATATGTTGTACTAAATTTTGGTTTAGTTTAGCAGTGCGTCCACATACAGATAGCTTGGTAGGTTCGCCAAATTGCATCTTCGACAATCTTCATAAGTGTTTTTTGGGAAATAACATTCGGCAGTGGAATCTATGCCTTTTTAGAGAAGAAGAAGCATCTGTTAGTTGGGGAGGATGATAAGGGAGCTTTTGATATAAGATTTTTGTGATTCTTGAATCGTAGAATCCCACGGAATCACTGAATCCACAATTTGGTACTGCGATGCGGCGAAATCTTTTGGAGTCACAACCGCGGAAGTGTCAAATAGACATATTCCGCTTCTTTATCAAATTTAGGTATATCTTTTGACTTTTCTTGTTTATTTCACATCTCCTTTCCTCTAATCAGGGTTTCTTTCTAGCAGAAACTATATATGTGTGTTTGTTTTCTATTTTGGGAAGACTTTTGGCTATTTTTATGTTATTTGGATATGTTATGATGCCTGAAACTTCTGCGAAGCAAACGACAATCATAAAAGTATATGAGTCTGTCAAGTAATATATTTATTTGAGTTTATGTGTCGATCATATGAAAAACTAGTAAATTTTCTAATTGGTGAATTTTTGGTTTAGTAAGCCCTAAGGGTGCGTTTGGGGCAACTTCTTGAATCATTGTTTGATAAAAAAACTTCATTTTTTCACTGTTTGAATAACACTTTTCGCAACCACATTTCCCAACCGTGTTTCGTAGTATAATAGAGATGCGAACGCATCTAGTCTCTCGAGTTTGCAACGTGCGTGTTAAAATTTCCTTTACTTCCCCGAAACCCTTGCCTGGGTCTCCTGCTTCACTCGAAACGCTCTGCCCCAAACTTTTCTATCTTTTTTCTTTTACGCATCCAAAATTGGCGAGCCTCTTGTTTATTGATCATTCCTTCAAAGTTCTGCATGGCAGCATCACAACCATGATAGCGGAGGGCATGGCGAGCATGGGAGCGTATATGGCCTCCAGCTTCCAGCGCGTCACTGGCGTTCAACTCTCCACTAACCGTATCAAAGCTGCCCGCCTAGTTTATGTCAAGGCTGTCCCAATTCAGCAAAGTAGAACTATTCACGTAAATTCTATCAATCCAACTTTGTTTTCGTCGTTTAACATTAATAGTCAAACTGTGGCTCGGGCCATTATTAGGAAAATCTTTATGTTACAAGAATCAAGAGCTCCTTTAACTTGAAAGTTATAAAAGATAGCACAAATGATAAGAATATGAAGGTGATGGCAAAACGATTGCCTAGTAAGAATAAACTGCGCCTATTAGATCGACCATTAAACGTAATAAGATGTTTTTAAATAAATCAATCCCTTCTAGATCCTCTTCATTTTGTCTACCTAGATTTGTGGTATTATAGAGGACACCTTGGTTTATTCTTATATTTATTTCAATTGGATCTTGAAGTGTTCTAAGTTGCTAAATTTAAAAGGTTTCTAAAATCATAATGAAGAAAATAAATGTTTTATAGTTTTTTAGAGATGATGAGAATCATACTCATGTGACTCAAACTATATGAATCCTCAAAATTTTCCTATAAGATTCCCACATTATTATTGACAACTAGAAACAAATATTTCTTAGTCTCTGTTGATGTCATAAGAAGCATTGTAAACTCGCTTTATAGGCAAGGGGGCATAACCTTACAAAGTTTCACAGGAATTCTTTAGTCCCTTATCTAGATTGCAATCTCTTATTGACAATAAGCTTATTCTAACATGTGGCCGTGTATTAATCTACTTGTTCTTCTATTTAATTGTTAGAAGCTCGAGATCACAAGAGATTTTAATTTTTTAATTGACCAAATTAGAAGTAAATTAGAATCAAAAGGTTAACACATTAACATAAATTAATTAACAAGACACAAAAATGTCTACGAAAAACTCATTGATAAAACATTTGATTCATGTACGCATCCCAATCATAGGAGCATAAAAATATTTAGCTATACTGTATGATAAGAGAAAACAACAACAGCTTCATTGAATAAAAGAAAACAACATGTAAACAAGTACAAAAACTTGAACTAGAAATTCCTTATTTGCATGTGTAGTGTAGATGATAAGTTTTTGGGGAGATTGTTGTAAAAATTTGTGTCATTGAGTAATATTAACTATCTAAAATATAGATTTTCAAATAAAATTGTAAATTAATTATTGTATGTTAATAATAGGAGAATAAAATAATTAAAAGTGACAAATTATTTATTAAACATTGAATAATTATTAATTTACTAATGGCTGACATCATATTACAATTAATCAGTCTTTTATATAAGGATTCTTAAATACATATACTAAATTGACTACATATAAAATTAATTCATTGAATATATAAATTCTAATTATTATAATCTAAATAATTTAATTATAACAAGTACTTTTGAACTATAATAATTTAAATTTATTTAGTAAGTGATTGAGTATTTGACATAGGAAAGATTTGATATTCAAAATCAATAAATAAAAGCTTAATAAGGTATATTAATCCTCAGTAAAAGTAAATTGAAACAATATCAAAAGAGAAATAATTGAAGTTTAAAAAGTTAAATATTCAAGAGACTTTGAGTAGAAGTTTGTGGTTAAGCTAAAACTTAAAAAAATGGTATCAATCCACATTTTAAAGACTCAAAGAATAAAAACTCCTTAATTTAAATTTACAATATAATATTCAAAAAGAGAATTACTGAGTTAATATTATTTAATTTATAAGCCTAATTGAATTATATATTTATTTGAGAATTAATGTTATTTTAGTCAAACATCAATAAGTGATTTAAGAATAATCATTTAAGAGAGTATTAATAGAAGTATGTTGGAATATTTGGGTTTTAATAAAAATTCAATCCTAAGATAGTATTTGTGAACTTTGATTTATTTACTTACCTTATTATAAAACAATGCAATGCTAAGACACCATCTACTATGAATTTCAAAAAATCTACTTTTGGGTATTGAATTATTGATAAACAAGTAATGTTTAAGTTTCAGGGAAATTTGATGTTTACAAAATGTGATGAGATGTTCATTTGTTTTTATACCCTTTATGCATCATTTATATATTTTTTTGGGGTTTTTGTAGTGTTATTCACAGTAACCAGGAAGAATTCAAGATTAGAGCACTTAGAGCACAAAAAGGGCAAAATTCTTAGGCGAGGGCTCTAGCACCCCGAGAAAGTTTTATCCAAAAAAATAAAGCCGACAACATCCCAGTACAAGGTCCCTGACCAAAGGAAAATATGTTGAGATTTTTATACCTATTTTACACTGTTTTTGATGATATTACACTTTAAAGAAATATATTTTTGATATTTTGTTGCAGGTATGTTGAATTATGGTCATTGGAGCAAAAAGATGCAAAAATGAGCGAATTTGGAGCAAAAATGACCAAAATATGAAGATTTGATCTTGGGCGCCGACGGCGACAGCGAGCTAACGCAGAATCGAATGTAGATTTCTCAACCTCTAGAATTTGATTTGAAAGATTGCGATAGGATGAGCTCCTAAAGCAACACGGTATCGGATGTAAAATCTTCAACCTCTATATTTGATTTAAAAGATTGCAATAGGATGAGCTCCTAAAGCAACACAGTATCAGATGTAAAATCTTCAACCTCTAAATTTAATTTGAAAGATTGCAATAGGATGATAACCTAAAGCAATGTGGAATCAGATGTAGAATCCTCAACCTCTAGATTTGATTTGAAAGATTGCAGTAGGATGAGCTCCTAAAGCAACGTGGTATCGGATGTAAAATCTTCAACCTCAAGATTTGATTTGAAAGATCACAATAGGATGAGAACCTAAAGCAATGCGGAATTAGAGATAAGTTGTATTTACTTATTGAAGTTTGTATGACTTTGCTTTTATATAAAAATTCCAAGTTTTGTCATATCTTCTCCATGAGTTCTGAGTAGTTTTCTCTGTTTTTCTCCTTATCTTGAGATTTTGTGAAATGATGATTTGATTTGGTTATGCCTTAAGAATGTTAAAGAAGTTGTGATGATCTTTTCACTTCAATCTTAATTTACTTTCAATTTGGCCAATTGATTTGTTAAAATATGTTGAGTTTTACAACTACAGTGAAGATTACATCCAAGATTTAGGGAGGTCAAAGCCATTGGAAGGTGGGTGGCAATGAATAG